GTATTAAATTATAATGATCAAATTGATAATATCTTTCATATTTATATCATTTTCAATTTTTTTTATGAGCCGCGGGTTAACTGCGGCCTGTGGGGGTGCAACCCGCGAAGCTCGCGGGTTACACCTCATTGGCCCATGAACCGTCCACACGGGTCACGGATCGGCTCACGGTCCCCATTTTCACGAGTCGATTTTCACGGGTCGGTCGGCCCGTCCGTCTTGACACCTCTATCGAAAATGATCTTAACTGAAGATTTAAACAAAAAAAAAAAAAATGTATCTCTTCGTCAATATCCTTTTATAAAAGTGAAACTCGGGTCCTGAAATGAGTTAAAACACTGAGTTATCTAAAAACGAAGGAACTCAACAGAAATGACATAGTCAGCCTTATTAGCAGTCCGAACATTGTAAATTTGTAATCCTTACATAAACAGAAACACCAAAATAAGCAATACACCTCAACATAAAACTAAACATGTAAATGCAATTAAATACACAAAATATGCAGAAATTCATATATCTCATTAAATATGCAGAATTGCACTATTGTAGATTTATAAAATCCAGTTCAAATTCAACCTTGATCATCCTTAATCATCCATCCATTATCCATACTTAAATTTTCAATCACAACAAAATATTAGGCTCAGTATTCACAGAATCACAATACACATTATAAAAAAATATTGTAAATAAACTTATAAACATAACATTATCGAAAAAGAATTGAAGAAATCACAGAAATTGAATACGCTTAGTCAGGGAGATAGTGACCCAGGGTATTTGTTTATTTGTTCTTGTTTTGGATTTGGATTTGGATTTGGTGAGGTCATCAAATTCAATGGTTAATCGAGGAGAAGAATTGAAGAAATCACCTTCACTGTACGCCGAATGGGCGGACTGCGGAGTCACGGTCGGAAGGCACACGGCTGGCTGTCAGGACTCAGGCTACAGCAGCACAGGTTGCACAGCTTCTAATTCTTCCGTCTGGCTTGAAGGGCTGAACCGCTGAAGGCGTCTGTCGTCGCCCGTGTCCTGTCTCTGGATTGCCTCGCTCAGCGCCGTTGTAGAGCTATGGAAGAAAGTTTTAGGTTAATTTTGATTTTTTGAAGTGTTGACGGAAGTTTTTGGTTAATTTTAAAATTAAAAAAAAAAAAAATTAGGCCTTCAAAAATTCTGGGCTTGAGGCGGTGGCCTTGTGGGTAATGGTTAATGGGCTCAATTTTTAAATTGGGTTTGTCCAAAAAAAAAAAAAAAATTGTCCAATTAAATTTTTTTTTAGCGGGTAATCGGTTCGGGACGGGGCACCGTTATTAAATAACATACTCGCCTCACCACGAATCGGGTTATTAAAATCAAAATCATAACCACCCCATTGCACCATCGATTCTATTTTTTCGCGTCTTTCAGTTCGGTTAACCGCAGTTTTCGATTTTCACAATTCAAATTGCCATCACTAGTTTAGTTAGGAGAATGAACTAATTCATTTTTTGTTCTTAGCTGTCCAGAATAAACATTCAATTCCGAATTTCCATATTAAATTGAATTCTTCATTTTATTTTTTTTCTCCACTTTTGAAAATGTGATATTTTATTTTATATTTTTAGCTCCTATTTAACCCCATTAAAAAAAATTATTTATTTCTCGTACTCATTTTCAAAACATTCATATAATAAAATATTCTGTTCGTAAATTCAAAAAATTTCCCTATTTTTTAATAAAATATTTTCGAAAAAAATCACTATTCGAAACATCATTTTTTTTCTCAATTTCTCTTTATAATGGCTAACAAAAGGGGGCTTAATTTTTTATGTAATCGAATTGAATTTGTTTTATTTTTGTCAAATTTCCCTAAATAATTTGATTTTATTTGTGTAGGCTTGAAATTTATTAACATTTGAGTCGTGATAATTTTTTAGAGAACTCGATATTTTTGTAAGGTCGAAATCCTTTAAATTTACTAAATGCTTCCAATATAATTTACAAATTAGAACTTTGTTACATATACATCAAGAGTTACATACTGTACAAGTCGCACCATGTAATTGGTGTAACATTTGATGTACA